TTCCCTGGTATATTTTCTTTTAAAGGAGAGTGCTGTGAGGTATTTTATACTCCTGTTAACTAACTTCAGAGATAAGATTAAACTATACCTTAAAAAGGGGAGGGATGGGGGGGGGAGGCAAAACCCACAGCTTTGAATAAAGATGGTGCTGGAAAATATTCTCTGTTTTTTATGGAAGACAGGATGCTCCACATCACAGCACTCCAAATCATTCCTTGTACACCTATCGATATTTCTTGCAGTACCAGTGTTTTCCTAATGTGAATGCAATATCATGTACCATGAAAATGTCAGAAAGCCGTGTTTCATTGGATGCAGCCTTTTAGATAATTGATGCTATCAGTTCAATCATTAGGGATTTGAAGATGTGTGATTTGAGTTCGAGTAGTTAAACCTGAGTTCAGGCATGGGAATATGTTAGTTCTATCCCACTGCCTTCACAAGTTTTAGAAATATTATCATGGGCTTTGGGGCTCAATTTAAATGCTGAAGAAAATAGATGATGAATTTTAATGAGCCTTTTTTTCAGGTTCTGTAAAAGAAGTTAGGTAGAGGGAATTGTTCCGCTTTTAAGGTGAAAGAGCTTGTATTTAGGATTTGTATGTTGGATCAACCTAAACGCAATATATCAAGGCAGTGTACCATTCCAATTCCCAGCTTTGATGCTGTGCAGGTTAACTAGTGGTAATCCCAGTGCTCTGAGTTTGGGTATCTCTTGTTAAAGTATCAGCAGCTTAACAACAGTTAACTCTTTATCAGCTAAAGTCTACCCAGTTACTTGCTGTGCATTGGCTGGCTATAATTCACTGAGGCATAAGCCATTTGTGTACTAACCTCTTACTTTTAAATATGAAAAGGCTTATGAGAACTGCTTAACACAGCATGTTTTCAGAAAGAGTGCGGTCCGCAATTTTCTGGTAATCCAGAATGATTGTGCTGCTGAAAGCTTCTTTGATTTCTGTAGAGATTTCCAACAGCTAGTTTGGTTGGTTGTCATATCCTGATCGCAGACATGAGCCTCAAGTATATAAGTAGTAATATGAGCTGTATAATGAAGGGGCTGGTACAACGACCTATGGAGATGAAAGTAAAGGAAATTATGGAAAGAGAAATAAGTAAGCTACCCTTCACCTCATTAAAAATTGTAAAAGCATAACGGATTGATCCTTTTAAGAGAGGCCTGTACAATTTACCAAGACACTAGTTCCTGTCAAACTTGACTCCCTGATTGATAAATTGTTCATTTCTGGCTGCTGAAGTTCTTGCTGCTGTTCAGAGAAGTGAAGATAGACTGGTAATGGGGTACAAGCAATCTTCTGAGCCAGTCAGATTTTCTGGCTTCTGGGGCCTGATTAGATGTTAGGCCAGGCTCATGAGTAATTCAGAGTCCTGGTAATGGCTCCTTGGGAACGTTATCTGAAATACAAGTGTTGGCTTCAGCCAAACTACCAGATGAGATGGGTCTGTCCCACAAAAGCCACTGCTACGACTTGTACTAACTGACAGAGGGGATATGGTGTGGTGGTGTCAAACGTGGAGATGCTAAATAAGCGAGTCTTCTACCTTAATTCCAGATCAAGGCTGAGGCACCTTGGTAGGGCAGAACGGGAGAGCGACTGCAGTTGCTAACAAGCTGCTGTACGCGTAACGTCAGTCAGTCACCTGGCTTCGTGGGTAAGGGTTCGCTTGTCTGAATATTTTGAAAGCCAGTATACTCTAAGGTGCCTACTGCTGCTACTGGGAATTATCCACAGGTGAATAAGGGGCACAGTCATCTTTAAGTAGCATCATTGGCCAGTTATCGAATATTCCCCTCTCCATATAGCAAAGCGCATAGTGATATGTCTCACCCCTAGCAATAGGCAGTTTGTAAGCAACAAAATGTTATTTACATGTTGACATTGGTGACTGTACAGTAGTAATATAAGAATGTTTTCTGATTGCTTTTTTTTTTTTTCCTTTTCACTGTATCGAGGCTTCGGCTGGATCTTTGTGGTCGGGTAGTTTTTGAAATACTGGGAATTTTAGATAAGACTATGAAGGCACATGCAGAATTTCTTTTAAGCTAGCCAAAAAGTAAACTGCAGAATATAATTTTCATCATTTAAAAGGAAGTGTTCTCTCCTTTTTTAAATTGATTTTAGTATAGCTGCTGCCCTACTAATTCACTGGCTGTAAATCTTCTGATTTTTCTGATTATCTTCTGGCCCCTGGTCATAGTTTAACCCCAACCAGGAACTGAGCCCCACCCAGCCACTGGCTCACCTCCCCGTACTGGGTTGGGGAGGAGAATTGGAAGAGTAAAAGTGAGAAAACTCGTGGGTTGAGATAAAGGCAGTTTCATAGGGAAAGCAAAAGCCGTGCACACAAGCAAAGCAAACCAAGGAATTCATCCACTGCTTCCCATCAGCAGGCGGGTGTTCAGCCATCCCCAGGAAAGCAGGGCTCCATCACACATAACAGTGACTTGGGAAGACAAACGCCGTTGCTCCAAACATCCCCCCTTTCCTTCTTCTTCCCCCAGCTTTATCTGCTGACCATGACGTCATACGATGTGGGATGTCCCTATAGTCAGTTGGGGTCAGGTGTCCTGGCTGTGCCCCCTCCCAGCTTCTTGTGCACCCCCAGCCCCCTTGCTGGCGGGGGGGGGGGGGAGGGAGAAAAGGCCTTAACACTGTGTAAGCCCTGCTCAGCAATAACAAAAATGTCCCTGTGTTACCAATGCTGTTTCCAGCACAAATCTAAAACACAGCCCCATACTAGCTACTACAAGGAAAATTATCCCAGTCAAAACCAGCACCCCCCCGTCATTTCCCCCTCAGAAAAGTTCCAAAAGCTGAAGACTTCTATATCCAAAATTCAGCCTTCTAACAAAGTACTTGTTTTTCTTGGTGACCATTTATGGACCTGTTTTAAAATAGTTTGTAAGGCTTTAGAAATTAACTCCAGGTTGAAAATACTTGCATTAGTATTAGGAGGAGAATTAGATCCAAAACTTCATCTATATCGGCGGTCCCTGAATTTGTCTGTGTGCAAAGAACTCCTTTGGGCATTGACTACATTTCCTAGACCTCCTTCACTTCCTACTTGGAAATACTTAACCACTTAGTCTTCCTTCAGTGGTCCTGTACATTTTCCTTTTTCTCTGACCTTATGAAATACAGGGGTGGAGGGGAGGGCCACAGGGAGCAAGAGTTGGTGCCATTCCTTAAGCAGATGAGGGCCCCTTCCTTGAAGGGCTTGCCATTTTTTTGTCCTACCACCAACTGTAGTGGACCTGTACTGTCTGTTGGCTCTTCTTGCTGACTGAGACTTCTGCTTTTTCCAGCTGAGCAACTCAGCCTGCTCTGATATTACAACGATGTGTACTTAGGCAAAATACTTGAATAAACTACATTGTTTGTAACCATCCTCTCATCACATCCCTTTTTGCAGAGGGGAATTTTCACAGAACCTTGTCAAACCTGCGAAGGCTTTGGTTATTCCTGTGTTGTTAGAGAGGAATTACATAGTTGAATGTTTAAATGGCCGTATTCGCAACATAGCTGTCCTTTGGAAAATTCTGGGGGAAAAAATTGGCTTAAGCAAGTCGTGTCGAAGTGGCATTGAAAAGACAACTAACAATTTCTTGATAGCACCAAGGCATGGATTACTGCAGTGTACTGAAAAAAACTGCTTTGCTAGCCAATACTCTATGTGTGCATAAACTGTACAACGTTGAGTGTTTAAATAAGATTTATTTGAAACAGGCAGTTCACACTTTTTATTGAAAATTTTATATGGAGATGCAGAAATCTTTTAAGACTTTAACACTACATCAACTGTTATTTGATAGTTCTCTAGGAAGCGTGGAAAGGATTTCACCTTTAAGGTGCCATCTTATAGAGGCATTTGTTCACCTGATTTTTATTTTTTTTTAAATAGATGAGATGTAACATTGACTGAAAAGAAAATGGGATCAAAACTTTGAAAAAAGGGGTGCAGTCTTTTTAATTCAGTCTTCAGGTGATGTTAGGATGTCTATCCCACTTACTGTCGAGCCTCATTAATGAATTTTCCAGAAACTGATATTTTGTACTTTCAGGTCTTGCCATTTTCAGATAAACACTATGTAAAAATCAAATTTTCTGCTGCTTAAAATAAATGATTAATTCTTTCAACTTATTCAGTGTGTCTTTTTAAATCCTGTTAAGATGAACTTCCAAGCCGGTCAATTATATTCATCCAAATTCTTCCTGGTACTTTGGAACTTTCAATTCTAACTTCTGGCTTTAGCTCTGAAAAGAAAGCAGAACTGCTCTAGATCTCACCTGAACCATGAGAGGAAGGGAGGAGGCAGGCAAGTTTAGCTCCCAGGTGATTTTTTTTTTTTGTCATGCTTACACCCAAATAACTGAGACATTCTTGCCTCAACTCTTCATCAGTTCATGTCAGTATTGGACAGAAATTGGGCACAGAAAACACTAACTTGAGAGGATGAAGCTTGTGATCATCTGGAATGGATTCGAGTAATATTTTGGACTGTTGCTGTCTACTGCCCTAAACTATAAAACAAGAAGGCGTACAGATTGGACGTCCGTGTCCCTAAGACAGCCAGTCACCCTGAGAGCATTGGTTTCTTACCTTGGGAGAGCCTGGAGGAGGGAGGTTACTGTGCTCTGTGTTTTCTACCCCGGGAGGTGGCGCACATGGTTTGGTTTTCAAACAGGAGAGTTTCGAGCCCTTTCACGGCAAATTCTGTTGTCTTGTTTAAATTCTGTTAAGGTACTTTCAATTTTTCTTTTTTAAATACCCTACCTAAAAAGGTCCTTAACTTGGGGTCTCCTGATCATTTGATAATATCCCTCTTCCCTCCCCCTAAAAGCCTCTTCTAAAAAGTTCATTATTTTAAAGCCCTGAGCTTTCATCTTTACATGTAGCATGGTGCATGCATGTTGATAAACTTAGGGGATTGGTCAAGCAAGACAGATTAGCACCAACTGTTTAATATGGTATCTTTATTTCACACATTGGAAAGCTGGCTGGTTTTGCTTATTACTGTCCTGATATTCGGTAAAGCCTACCTATTATTACACAGCTGTGCTCACAGAGGTACTATACAAGTTTTCAATTTTTTTCTTGTACTTAAACTTCTCCTATGCTTCTGAAATTGCCATCATCTTCAGAGCACCCTCTGTGCTTCAGGCTTATTGAATCCAAAACTGTAAAACTGTCCATTCATTCACATCTCTCTTGCTCATCTTTCCCCATTAAAGCTGGCCCATCCAGACAAAATACGTTTTAAGTTTGTGTATGAAACACGAAAGTAAGAATTTATTGCAAAAATATGGCTTTTTTGGTAATGACAGTGCAGTATAAACAAATACGTGAAGGTTTACAATTCAAGTGCTCAATGTCGTTTTTCAGGACAAAGTGTAGTTGTGATGGCCACTTAATCTGTAAACATTAACTATTCTTCCCTTTCTGCACCAAAACAAACTCTTTAAAAATAAATGGTTTGGATTTTTTTTTCCTTCTAGAGGCTTGCAAGTAACATCTGCCTATACCTTGACTCATCATTTGTTTTACTAGGAAATTCAATAGAATTTCCTAAGAAATACCAGTTGTTGTAAAGACTACAAGAATCTATGCTGCTAGTGTATACATAAATATTAGTATATTGGATTTTATAGTTGTTAGCTAGAAAACTAATTTTTATGAATAAACAAGGTACAAGGACAATTGTATGAGGTTCGAGAAGGCCACATGTGACGGGTCCTGCACCTGGATCACAACAACCCCCTATAGGCAACGCTATAGGCTTGGGGAACAGTGGCTGGGAAGCTGCTTGGCAGACAGGCATCTGGGGACACTGGTCAACAGCCAGTTGAATACGAGCCAGCAACATGCTCAGGTGGCCAAGAAGGCCAGCAGCATCCTGGCTTGTATCAGAAATAAGTGTGGCCAGTAGGACTAGGGAAGTCATCCTTCCCCCGTACTCAGCACAGGTGAGGCCACACCTCAAATACTGGGTTCAGTTTTGGGCCCCTCACTACAAGAAGCACCTTGAGGTGCTGGAGCATGTCCAGAGAAGGGCAACGAAGCTGGTGAAGGGTCTGGAGCACAAGTCTCATGG